TTTTTTTTTTTTTTTTGCGGAACCGGGGATTGAACTCAGACCCTTGTGCTTGCCAGGCAAGCACTTATTCTACTGAGCCATCTCCCCGGCCTGTTTGCTGATTTTTTTATTGTTATTCTTTTAGATACAACACCAATGACATCATCCAAGAAGGAAATAATTAACTGGATTTTGTTAAAATTAAAAATACCTGCTCTGTTAGAGACTGGACCAGAAAATGAAAAAAATATTCTGGGGGAAAATACTTACAAGAGACACCAAATAGAGGACTTTTGTCAAAACAAAACTCAAGGGGCCAGGGAGATGGCTCAGTGGAATAAGTGCTTGGCTGGCAAGCACAGGGCCCTGAGTTCAATCCCTGGTTCCACCAAAAAGAAAAAACAACCCCTCAAAACTTTAAAAAGTTCCCTGTCAATTCTTTTTAAAAATTGGGATATTTTAGATATACATAATCATCATAGGGAATTTGTACCTATATCTGATCTATCTAGCTTTTTTCCCATTCCTCTCATCCCTTCAACCCCTCTTCCCCTGCTTTTTACCTTTTTTCTTTTCTTGCCCCTTTCCTTTTCCCCTCTCCATTCCCCTTCTAATAAGAACCAAAATTTAAGAAAACCAAAAACAGTTTTTAAAAAGCTAACGGTTGACACATTTTGCCAAAAAACAGGCAACAGATGTTTGACAAGCTTTTGAAAAGATGCTCCACATCATGTCATCAGGGAAATGCAAGTTACAATGAGTTACCCCTAGCACACTCAGTAGAATGGCCAAACTCCAGAACATAACACCAAATAGTGGTCAGGCATGTAACAACAGGAACTCTGGTGGGAATGCACAGTGGAGCAGTTTGGCATTTAGAGTATACACAGTCTTACTGTTAGACCAAGCTATCATACTCCTTGTTATTCAATTAGAATTGAAAACTTGTGTTCACAAAATACCCTTCGCAAAAGTTTATACTTTTGCCCATTAAGGATGTCAAGTATCCTTCAGTAGATGAATGAACTGGTACTTATGGAGGATAGAGTATTCAGTGCTAAGAAATGAGCCATTGAGCTATAAAAAGAACCTTGAGTACCTTGTTAAGTGAAGCCAGTTAGGGCTGCTTGCTGTATGATAGAGGTAGAACTAGACACAGTATCAGTATCAGTGGTTGCCAGGGGCTAGAGGAAAGCAAAGACTGAAAAGACAGAGCATGGGATTTTATGTTGCCTACTGTATGGTACTGGAATGGGCACATAATGTTAAAAGGATGCTCTTGTGAACACTGGATGGGTGATAATGTGTCACTGCAGGCCCAAGACTAACAAATGAGCTCTTGGGTAAGCATGTTAGTAGAGGGAGGCCATGAAGTTGCTCTTTAAGAGCTTTTTAAAATGAGAGCACAAGGCTAGTTAGAAAATAATTTAATCTGGATGCAGGTAAAAGCATGACATCAAAATTTGTGGGATAGGAGCCAGGGAGATGGCTCAGTAGAAGAGGGCCTGAGTTCAATTCCTGGTTCTGCCCCCCCCCCAAAATTGTGGGATATAAAAGATGTAACAAGTATGAGAAGTTTAAAAGTGATTACTTAAAATCATAAATGAATACAACAAATCAAAAATAGAATTAAATCAAAAGTTGATGCTTTGAAGAGATTAACCTTGGTCTGGTCACACAAAAAAATGCCTATCAGGAGTTAAGGTCCATTGCTGGACCCTTGAGACAGTGGTCCCCTGCTGTAGCATCCTGTTCAGTCTGCCTCACCTTGCTTGTCTACCTTAAATCCACACCTCACACCCTTTGCTGTACCTCTGCTAAAATCCTGCCAATGCTGCTTTGCACTTTATTTTCTATCTACTGGGTCTGCTAGTCTTGAGGGATGAGATATAGATGGACTGGGAGGCTCATCTTAGTGTACATGAATTCATGTGCTCCTTAAAAGTTACCAAAACTGGGCTGTGGATATACCTCAGTGGCATAAGTGCTTGCCTGGCAAGTGCAAGGTCCTGAGTTCAATCCTTGCTACTAAAAAAAAAAAAAAAAAAAAGGAAATTTACCAATCTGACATGTGAAGGAATAGAGATTTTTAAAATTTTATTTTATTGAGAAACAAGTATCAATGAGACAGCTTCAAAACTAATCAGTAGGACAGTTTCAATAATACATTGTACATAGTTATCTTCTTAGTGGTTATCCATAGTACAAGATGCAGACACAATATCCTGTCCAAACACTATTGGTACAAATCTTCTCATGGAATTCAGTGAAAGTAGCTGTATATCTATCCTAACAATTCTGCATATACAGATACGAACTGGTTCTTCCTTTGTATCACCTTTTTTTTGTTTAGTCCTGTTGCGAATGGGTATTCCATTGGCATCTAAATACTACAGGTGCATGAATTCAGCAAAACAATCCAACACAGTACAGCAGTCCACAATAGTAGTGGGTTGTCCACAGAAGTTGTTGACTTGAGCCTTTTATAGCTCAGCATATCGATATGGAGGAATAGAGATTGAAGTGGCCTTGTATCTATGTAACAACTGGAAATTTAAAACAAATCTAAGAGCTAAGTGGTATCATAATTTCTGAAATTAAATTCTATGAATCAGGAAATAAATTGATTCCAATGATAATATGCCTGAGCCAGCACAATGGCACATCTGTGTAATCTCAGTATGGGGGGGTGTTGCTTAGCAATTTAAACATCTGAAGGGTGTTGGGAAGCCCATGGCTGGAAAAGAGGGTGCCTGGGAAAGTGGGATTTTTGATTATAGGAGGAGCTGGTAGAAGGTAAGCTATATTGGCTGGTGCTGTCCTTCCAGGCTGGGTGTGGGAAAATCCTTGACTTTTGTCTGACAAACCCTTGCTCCCTCTGTCCTGGGAGCTCTCTTGAGTTCCCATCACTCTCACCTGGGATGAGAATCCTACAGGTTCATTGAGGCTAGTCCAGGATACAAAAGGGGTATTTGCCACTTAGAGGTTCCTGAAGCCCAGCATGCCCCAGGTCTCGTGTGGATAGTCCAGAGGGCTTTTCCCCGCCACACTGTCTCCAGATGAGCCTGGCAGATTATTATAACCAGTCGGATACCCTGTGCTCAGTCTGTGGGTTGACACTGCTGCCTAACCCTGCACATGGAGGGTGTGGTCTGTGAGGGACCTTTGTTCACAGCTCCCTCAGGGCCCCAGACCCCATGGGACCACTGTGGGGCCCTAGGCTGATCTTGGCACCCATTGCCCTTTTCTTCAAGTTGGGTGAGCCCAGATAACCATCCTTATACCAGTTGCCATCGAGGTTCTGGAGGTCCTAGGAGCTTGTGGTCCTGTGGAGTCAGGAGATAATGTGGGGTCCACTGTTTCGGGTACTGCCACAGTAAGGGTGATATGAGGCTCACATGTCTGTCAAGGTGAAGGTCAAACCCACTGTTGTCAAGGTCTTCATACGGTGTGAACAGTTGGCACCCAGCTGCCCAGCCAGAATGTCTGCTCTAGTAAGGTGCTGCTGGCAGGATCTGGCCCCAGAGATGTGTGTCTAGCCCCACTGCTGGGAAGCTCTCAGGAGCTCAGCACATCACCTAAAATTTGCACTCCTGTGACTTGTAGACCATCCTAATGCTAGTGACATGATCCACTACACAATGTGGAGTGTTCCTGTGTATGGTATACATGGCTGTTCTACTACATAGCCAGGGTCTAGCCTGGCCTAGGCATCACTTAGGAGGTGTCTGGGGGCCATGGGACAGGATGAGGTAGTGCTGCCTCTTTAAGGGTGGTGACATCACAAGGCCATGGAAGGCCAGGTGGCTGTAGAACTCTGTGTTCTTAGCTGTTTCTGTAGGCTGTGGGCTCTGGATTTCCACCTCCATGGGGCTGCAGGCCTGCCCATGAGTACTCAAGGACAGTCATGGCTGAGGGCAGTGAGCTGATGAATAGGCTAATGAGTGAGAATGCAGACCTGAAGAAACAGGTGCGCCTCCTGAAGGAGAACCAGATGCTGAAGCGACTGCTCAGTGAGAGCTGCCAGGATGGTGGCCGTGGGGTCCGTGACCTCCTCTTCCCCAAGGCACCCCCATACCCTGAGGCCTGTTCTCCAGGGAGTGGAGGTGAGCGTGATCCAGCCGGATGAGCCTATGAGAGGGTCAGGGGACCAGCGGTCATTAGGGCCTGCCTGCCCCATTCCCTGGAAAGGTCCTTCTTTTAGGCCACAGTCTGTATTTGGGGACATGACGAGGGGTGTCACCCACTGAGCTTGTCTCCAGTGCTACTGGGCTTGGCAGGAGGCTTGCCCTGCTTCTGTGCCTCCTCCCATTTCAGGACTTCAGCTGGCCAAGCATCCCTTCACACATATCCACACACATGCCAAGGCACGGCACAAGGCTGAGCCTGGTGATGGGGATGGGTGGGTGGGGATCCACCCCAGCAGGAGGCCCTGCTATTGCCTCCTGGGGGGTAGGTAGAAATGGCACTAAACTCACCACACAGAATCTACTCCAACCTTCTAGGACCCTTTACAGAAGAAAAACAGGATTTAATATTTGTCTGCAAAAATAGTTGGTTCTGTTTTAAGGGTCTTTGTGAAAAGTTTTCCAATTGGGGTATGGTTGATGGGTGTGACCTTGGCCTTCCTTTGGGTGATGAATGGCCAGCAGAACCCCAGTTAGAGCTGCTTGAGGCTCCTATGACCCAGTGGGATCAGCTTCTAGCTGGATATGGTGGTCACTCACACTCCTGGGTCATGGTGGGGACAGATATGTATTGCAACCTGCTCAGTCATCCATGACCAAGCAGATGGCTAGCTAGTATCCTGTGGACCTTACTGTCTGTGTGATGGTCACGTGGTCAGGCAGAGACTGGTGCCCTGAGGTCAGTTACTAGCCTGCCAAGGGAGGCTCTGGGGTCCTCTGCTTGTTTGATCACTTTCCAGCCACTATCCTATTGAATGTGCCCAGTAGAAAAGGTGATCTGCTTCCTTTAGCCCAGTGGAGCATCCACGGGCCTGTATGGGCTAGAATCAGGCCACCCCAGTGCTCATAGAGCCCCTGGTATGAGAGGTCTTTCTTGGGGCCTCAGCACCCACCATCTCTTGAAGGGGGAGTTTGGACATCTGGGGATCCATATGGGGAGTAGGTTGAGAGGACAGAGATAATGCTACTGGGATGTGACTAGACGGCCTCAAGATGCTTATTGAACAGCACTGGGCTAGATGTGACAGGTGTTGGTGCCAAGGTCACACTGAATTGAGCCCAAGTCTTGTTAATAATGACCACTGTCAGAGGCTTACACACTCATCCCACCAGGTTGAGTCCTCACTGCATCTCCTGTGTTTAGGGCACTGCCCTCGGGCCATCCCTCGGAGCCCAGCAGGAGCCCAACCCAAGGCCACCACATCTTCCCAGAGTGATGGAGCCAATTAAAATGTGTGGACCAAGGCCAACCTCAGGCTTTGGCCATGTCTACCATGAGTAGGAGGGCTGGCTCAGGAGGATGGTACCATCCTTCTCTCTCTGTGGCATCAGCCTATCAATCCCAGACTCCTGACACCACATTCTGAAGTGGTGCTGACATTAACCACTCAGGCACATGAGCAAGGTTGTCCCCAGCAGGGCACAGCCTTGGCCTTGGGGATTTGAGTTTGGAAAGCCAGTGCTGAGTCCCTGCACAAAGGGAGGTCTATAGACAGCAAACCATTGACTGCCACCACATAGCAATCGATGGTTTGCACATTTGCAAGAGTCTCGTAGCATCTGTCTTCAAAACAGGCTGTGTGCTTCAAAGTTAGCTTTTCTAAAGTTTCAACAGGTGATATGTCCAGCTGTTGCACGCTACAAAGGCCAGGATCCTTCAGCTTGCCCTGTCTCCTGGCCCACCTCCACAGACAGCCTGACCCATAGCTCCTGAACCTCCTGATGGGTTTTCCTATGTTTATCTCTTATCTCATTGGTTTATCTAAACAGGATCTTGCTGTCTACAGTTTGACTTTCCCAGTCACTGTCTGTGTTTTTCCTCTTCCAGTTTTCTTCTGTGTCTGCCCAGCACACTTTGATACTAAACACTTCAAATGGGCCTGTGACAGGCAGTAGCATGCCCTCAGGTCTCTGTGACTACAGACAGCCTTTCTGTGAGCAGCCATGTGTGCACCTCTTGCTGGCTATGACCTTCTGTCATTGGGGGAAATCCTCAGCCTGGATTCCTTGTGTCAATGGCTGTGTGCATTTGAAAGGTCGAAATAGATACTGTCCAATACTCCCAGCAAGCAGTGGCCTTGACACCCCACTGTGAAGGAGGAGGGGCATTGTCTGTTCATTCAGCAACAAAGATATTCCTGTGGGTCTCTGTCAGATGATGGGAGCTGGGCTCTAAAGTCAGGCCTTCTCTGGGCTTGGGATCCAGAGGAACAGCAGCCTGGACACAGACTGGGCACTGGAAAGAGTCCTCCTGCTTCTAAATTTGTTTTTTTTATATGCTTATTTTTTTATTGAGAAATAAATATGAATGAGACAGTTTCACAGCTGATTAATAGGACAGTTTTGATAGTCAATACACTGTACATTGTTATCTTCTTAGTGGTTATCCATAGTACAAGAAGCAGACAGGATATTCTGTCCAAACACTGTTAG